TGTTTTTTCGTTTAATTTTCTGAAGTCTAATACCATTCTCCATTTTCTTTCTCCGTGAGAATCGAGTTTTTTGGGTACAAGAAAAATTGGAGTATTATATGGTGACTGGGAAGGTTTAATAATTTTGTTTTTTAAAAGTTCGTTCACTTGTCTAGTTATTTCTTCTTTGTGGACTGGTGGATATCTGTATTGTTTTGTTATAATTGGTCGATCGTCGATAGTTGGAATTGAATGCACTAAAAGAGGTGTAGCTTCTAATGGTTCGTCGGGTAGTTGGAATCTGTCAGAATTTGTTGCAATAAGTTTTTCTACATGTGATAATTCTTCTTTATTTAAATGGTCAAGTCTTAATAGTTTTTTAATGTCTTCAATTCTTTTATTAGAAGAAATATTATTAATTTGGTTACTATTGTTATGTATTGTATTTATAGGTTCTTTTGGATTTTTAAAAAAATATTTTTTACCTTTAATTTCTAAAAATTTTAATGCGTAATTTATATTAACATTATTTTTTAAAAAAAATTCTGAACCTAAAATTCCGTCTTCTGTAATTGGAACGTTATTTGGAATTAAATGGAAAATTGTTGGAAAATCAAATATATTTAATTTAATATTTCCTAGTGTGTATACAGGATGATTATTTATTCCTGTTAATCTTAATATTTCGTCTTGTTCAATTTGAATTCCATGGTCGATAGTATTTAATTTTAATAAATTTCTACCTGCTCCTGTATCTATCATTATATTTGTTGGACATTTTAAACCATTAACTGTTGTAGTTATTGAAGGAATGGGGTTGTCTGTACTAATATTTATTTTTATTTCTTTTATATTTCTTTTCTGTGTAGTAGGTGCATTATCTTCATTTAGCGAGCCTCCCGTGCAGCACCTGTGTTGGGGAGGGGTCTGGAGTTTCCCTGATTTTGTGGTTGAAATCTTTGTTGTTGTGGTTGATATTGTTCTTGTTGTGGTCTGTATTGTTGATTTTGTGTTTGTTGGTTATTATATATTTTTTTACGACATTCACTGATAAGATGACCAGGTTTTTTACAATAGGAACACTCTTTTTGAGCTTGATAAGTATTATATGGAGTATTCCTTTGATTAGGTGGATATTGAGAAGATCTGTAATTTGTTTGTTCATATTGTCTATTGTTAGGTTTAGGTTTCCATTGTTCTTGATATTGTTGATGTGGGTTCCATTGATTTTGATAATGTCGATTCTGATTTCGCGGATATTGAAAAGGGTTGTTGTACGTTTGATTCCAATTGTTTGTTCTGTTTGCACTTTGGTAATTAAAATTTTGTTTTAATTGACGACAAACTATGGCTGAATGACCTATTTTGTTACATATTTGACAGATTAATTCTTCCCTCATGATGTGGATTTTATCTTTTTTAGTTTCTAATTTTTCCTCTCTGTTCCTATGGGAAGATCTTAAAGCTAAATTTGCTGCTAATTTTCTTTCAACTTCAATAGCATTATTTATGGCATCTTTAAATGAATTTACGTCTTCTAATCTGGTTTCAATGTCTGTTTTTAATCCTCTAATAAAACAATCTAAAACATCTTTTTTAAATCCAGTTACGAAATTTTCATCTTCTCCTCCTTGATTACTACGCCTATGTGAATCTAAAATTCTATTTCCTATTTCCCGTATTCTAGTTGCGTAAGAAATAACTTTTTCGTTTTCCCATTGATAAATGCTTCCTAATTCACCCTGTAGTTGGTATATAGATTTATTTGGAGAATACACATTTTTTAGGCTATCTATTAATTCATTGATGTTATCGTAAGAATCATTTAATAAAGATTGTCGAGCTTCTCCCCTAATTTTTGTTTTAATAAGTTTTGTTAAGTTTGCCACTGCATTTTGGGGTAATAGGCTTTTGGCTTCATTACATGATGAAATAAATTGTTCTAAAGGTATGTTATCGCCCGAAAAAATTGGTACTATTTCTAAGGCATCGCGAAGTGAGACGACTTGATTATTAAAAATCGTTTCTCGTGTTTCTGGCATTATTTTTCTTTTATAGTTATCGGTAATATTTATAAATTTGTTCTGTTTGTCTTTAATTAATAGTTCTAAAATATCGTCTTTATCTGAAATTGATTTGTCAAAATTCTTATATGGGGTTCTTGTATTATTTTCTAAAGGTTCTGTTTCGGATTCAGATTCTGATTCAGTATTTATTTCTAAGTTATCTGGTTTTAAGGTTGTTTCGATTATGGTAGAAGAAAAGTCAGTTAAATTTAGTGAATTTGTGTCAATAGATTCTTCAAAATTAGTTATTGTTTCGTCGTTTGCTGTATTGCCACTAATTATAACACTATTATATTGTCTAGAATAAGGATGTGGAGAGTCAGTTTTTTTATTATAAGTTTCAAATGCAGTTTGATTATTAGTTAGTATTTCATTTGCTAATAAAGGATTATTTTGAGCTTGACTACGAGTAGTTCTCTTTTCTTCAGACATTGGTTAACATTTTTGAAAAAAGTAAACAAAATTTGTAAGTGTAATGTAACGTAGAATAAAACATGTCAGTTTTATGTTTTCTAATTTTTGTATGTGTGGACAAACATATGTGTAGACAAATATATGTGTATACAAATATATATATATAATATGATAGATAAATACGTTTATAAAATAAGTAAAGGATTATTTGATTGTTTCTGTTCATAAATTATTTGATTAAAAATAACAGAATTTCTCAAAAAAATTTGCAAATTTTATTTAGAATTAATTATTTATTAATATTGTTGAAAAAATTTAAGCAACAATTTTTTTATTTTAAAAATTTTGAAAATTTATTTGTTTATAACTTGTTAAACAATATTTTGGTTAAAAAAAATTTATAGAAAAAATGTGTTTAAATTTTATTTAAGAGACTTATTTATTTTTAATATTAATTTATTGTTTATTTAAAAAATTTTATATAATTATTTTTATATTGTTTATTTATTTATAAATTGAAATATTTGTTTAAAAATAAATTTTATTTTATTAATTTTTAATATTTATTTATTGTTTATTTATTAATTATTTAATTATTTTTATATTGATTATTTATTTGTAAATTGAAATGTTTGTTTTAAATTTTTTATTTTATTTAAGAGAATTATTTATTTTTAATATTTATTTATTGTTTAAAATTTATTAATTAATTATTGATTTTATAATTATTTGTTTAAAAATTTGTTAATTAATTGTTAGTTATTAATTATTTATTTAGTTATCAATTTATTTATTTTATTATTTAGTTTATTATTATTAAATGTTTATTTATTAATTGTTCATTAAATTATTTATTTAATTATTTATATTTTTAATTAATATTGCAAAAATTTTTGAAAAATGATCATTCATTTAATAATTTAACCCAGGCCGATGCACCAAAAATTATAAGTTCTGTTATGTCTAAAATTTAAATTTGAAATTTTTAAATATTATTAAATTTTCCTAATCTAATGAACTTATAATTATTCCCTAATCTGTTTCCTCAATTTAACTTAATTAAATAAATTAAGTTGGGAAGAGGTATTAAATGAATGGTCAAAAAATATTATTTATTTAATAAAACTATTTATTAATAAACAAAATATAAAAGTTTATTTAAAAGAAAATATTATGCTTTTAATTATTTAATGGTTGAGAAACAATTATCAAATATTCCTTCCTGTAAGATTTGGGTTCTTGTTTACCTCGAGTCTTTTATTGGTGTTTCGACAGCTGGACCACTCAACGTCAGATAAGATCTTCTATGTCAGATGTTAAAAGGTCGCTCGTAAAAATTTTATGACAGAATTTTCACTGGAACTTCTGGACCGTATTTTCTGTATTTCACTAAGTTCTTTGACCCTTTTTCTTTAATTGCTGAACACTTGTATTTTTATAGCACTTATGAATGACTTTTTGTAACTGTAGATACTGCCGACACTTATGTATATATATATGTATATATTCGTCGAACTAAACTGCTTCACAACTGATACTGATATTGATACTGATTTTGACTGTCCTCCATGGGAAAGATTTCCCTTTATATACAAAAATTTTATAATGTAAATCTTTCGATGGGACCAGCTAACCCAGGAAGTCTTTTTCTAGGACGGTACCACCTCACCGATGTAAACAGTATTAGTCCCCTCTTCTATGTAGTAGTGACTCACATATATGGTCCATTCATTTGAAAATTATATTCCTCAACCACCAAACATCAAAAACAACATATATATCTTTTGCATTATAAATATAATATTATTATAAAATATTATTTGTTTACATATAATTGTTTATTAACAAGTATTTGTTTATTTACAAATACTTGTTTCATAATTATTTATTTATAAATACATATATTCATTTAGAAACAATTGTTTATTTATAAACAATTGTTAATTTACAAGTATTTGTTTATTTAAAAAATACTTGTTTATTTATAAACATTTATTTATTTATAAATATATTTGTTTATTTATAAACAACTGTTTATTTACAAATATTTGTTTACAAATATTTGTTTAATTATAAACAATTATTTATTTACAAATATATTTATTTATTTAATTAATTAATTAAAAATAATAACTTTTATTTATAAAATATGTTACGGTGACGTGACAATAACCTTGTAACTTAAAAACTATACATTTTCTCTTTCTTACCTGTACCATTAGATCAGAGCCTTCTGCTCTGTAAATGAAACAGGAAATATCACTGAATCACCAAAGCGGGCATAAATAAAATAAAATATTATTTTCTGAGTTATTTTCTCATTTTTGGAATGTAACAATACCTTCTTAAGGTACGGCTTTATTTCAGCTATCTTAGTAGGGTCGTCATGGTAACGTATAAGAGAGAGAAACAAGTACATTTTTCATTTCTCTCACTCTTATACGTTACCATGACAACCCTATTTGGATCTGAGCTTCTTTCCGTGTAATAATTTTAAAAAATTAATTTTAATTATAAAATAAGAAAGAAAGCAAACACAAATTGTATGGTTATAATATTGATTTATTAAGTTTTCGTTAATTATATACAGAAATTCGTTGTGTAATGACAATGGTTCAGAGGGACATTATGAGCGTTGAAAAATTCTCTTTGAGATGTTTCTTTAAAAAAAAATCTATACATAAAGGCACAATGTCATTTTAAACCAAAATCATCAGGCTTCAATTCTCGATAAAATTATTTATTTAATAAACAATTTTCGAAATCGAGTTCGAAGCTTTGGACTCAAGCGGAATCACCGATAGAAATATTGCACTAAAATCGGGACACCGTCAAAACTATATATATATATATTTTTTTAAATCTACATGAGTCTTTCTCTGTCAACTCCTTTAAATCTTAGCGTATCGGCGCTTAATAAGTTATTTTCGGTTACAGTCGACTTCATGCTTTTTTTAATCTTTCATTTATTCTACTCTCTCTCCGTTTCTATTTTTCTCTTTCAAACATACGTATTCTTTCACTCAAAAAAATTTTAATAAACGAGAAATTAAACATTTTCGTATATATCAAGAATTTACAATTTTTTCCTTGTACAAATATATTTCACATTCTCTCGATGACAAACAGATCAACTAAAATTTTGTTTGATTTGCCTGATCGCACTTTTGCGCATACATAAACAGGATAATCAATTTTTATTTAGAATTTTTTGAAAAATAAAATAAAAATCAATTATCGACAATTGAGAGACAGCAACTGGAAAAATATTTTAAAAATTATGAATTAATATGTTGATAAGCTAAACACAGAGGCACTTATCGTTCTAACATTTGATTTAGTAATCGCGTAGAGGCTGATGACTTAAAATCTTATATAACTAAGAGTGAGATTCGTCGAAGTTAATTCAGTTAAGACGAGACGATTGTCAAGAAAAAGCGTCCACAATTTTCAAAACGGTTGTTTTTTTTCAAAATTTTACCAACTCACAATGTTTTCTTTTTTTTATCTTCTCATAGACATCAAATAAAAATTCAAAAATTTCTTAAATTTTTCCAGACTAATTTTTTGTTTCTATACATAAAAACTAAATTTTTGATTTATTAAAAATATACAAAATTTTGGTACAATTCACATTTTTTTCCCTTTGAATTCTCTATAAATTAGATTTATAATTATAAATTTACAATTTATAATTATAATAATATATTTTCTGTACAATGAAAATTTTCTTTTTTTAAAGAAAATTGTGCCCAAAACAAAAATTCAAATAAATAAATTTGGTTTTGCAAAATTGTGGTCGATTTCATAGAAATTAAAGTTAATAAGAGCGTATACCGGACTAGTGTTCAGTATATGTCATAAATATTAGGAATTAAGTTTTTTTTACTAGAAGCGAAATCGATGTAAAAAGGGGGGGGGCAATTAAAAAAGACTAAGGATCGCTAAATATAAATTTTGCAGATTCGTTGTATACGATGACTCTCAAAATTGCCATGGATAAAATTTATTTTAGATGAAAATAAATTATTTCATTGAAATATGTATAATTGTCATAATAAAACTTCTATTAGATTTTTATTTATTTTATAAGTGATTTTAATAATAATTTTTAATTATTCTTTCAAAAATAAAAAAAAATTGTTTTAAGAAACAATTTTTGAAATTTTAACCCTACACAGTACTGGGGGTACAAAAGTACCCCAGAGAAATTTCAAACTACGGCCCTGGCTCTGTAAGCCTGACTGTTATGGTGCCATTCTTACCTTAGAATGACATTTTTTGTGCAAATTTTGTTATTTTTTTGCTTTTTGTAATTTTTTGATCATATTTTTGATTGTATCAAAAAAAACGCTATCTTTCTTATAAAAATAAGGAAAAAAATGACATAATAAAATTATTTTGCGTTAAATATGAACATTCTAGCAACAAAAAAAATTTTGGGGTAATTTTCTACCCCAGTTGTACTTTTACGTATAAACCAGCTATGTTGTACTGTCTAGGGTTAATTATAAATATTTTTTAAAAAATATTACAACTGAATTAGTTAAATATAAAACATTCTTTAGTATAAAATATAAAATATGTGAGAAATTCATTAAATTTTCAATTTAAAAATAGTCAATTAAACTACTATATTTTAAAAATGATTCCAGCGGATCAAAAACAATTATTAATAAATTATTAAACATTATTAAACAATTATTAAATATTCTAAAAATAAAACAAACAAAATTATAATATGAAAAATAAAACCAAATAAAATGAAAAAAAAAATTGAATTAATAAATATTAATGAATATAAAAAAAAATTATTTAATATTTCGAAATTCGAAATATATAATACGTTCATTTGGAAAAATGGCAATTTTGAGTTACATACAATCTTACAGAGTGTCGGGCAGTAATAAAACTGGCAGTTGAGCAAAGAAATCTCGGCGTCCTGAACTTACGTCGCAGGATCCGAGTTGAAACTCCCATCACTCCATATGCACCCGACAAAACTAGACTTTTATTCAAAAAAAAAGTTTTTGAAAAAATTTAAAATTATTTAATTTTTGCAAAAAACATTTTTTTTTTTGCAAAAAATATAATTCTTCGAAAATTAATAATTATAAATTTTGAGAATATATTTGAAAGTCTCGATTTATCGGGTATCCATTCACTCAAGCAAATAGTGGTCTCGACAAAAGGAAAAGTTTTAGTGGGAAAGTGCAATATACATATTACGTTTGGCAAATATTGATTTTACATAAACAGTCGAGTTTTGTCAAGAAAAAAAAAGGAAAATTTTTTTTAAACATCTGCGTTTGCGCACTAAAACTTTCTCTAAATCCTTAGGTCACTTTTGAGCGAGTATCGAAATGCCCCTCACTTTAAGCAGTGATTCGATTTTTTTTTTCAATATTAGTCGAAAAAAAATTTTAATTTTTTTTGAGAAAATAATGAAAAAAAAATTGAAAACACAACTTTGAAGTTTGAGGATTCGAGTTGAATGATTATTATTAAAATTATAATAATTATTTGAGATTATTATAGTATAATAATTATTTTAGGATCGTTTATGTATATATATATGTAGTAAATATAAATAATGCGAATCCTATTGTGGATGTGGATTTAACTGCTGTGGCTGTAGGCGGTGTTCGTGTAGGGGCCGCTGTATATGGATGAGCCAGTGGTTGAGACACTCTTGTGCCGCCTCTTTGCCAAGACGAGGAAAATCGCTGCCGCCACGGACAACATCAAAATTAGACTCGCTATTATCACCGCGATCGTGAATGTCTTCGGCGAAATGCAGATACTGTTCGGATCATCGAACGCCTGCAAAAAAATAAATTAACAATAACAAAAATCACCGGTTAATTTGCAAAACATTTAAAGAATCTTTCTTTTTATTAGCATATTTTCAACGACTTTTTTCCTTTAATTTCCAACATTCTTTTATCATTTATTGTTAGTAACATTTTTTATTTAATCACAATTTTTTTTTACGACATAAATTCCATTTCAATTTTTTATTTATCCGAATTTTCGGCGGCAAAGTTTTAAATTTAACCAATCAGAAAATTATTAAGGAAATTGTGATTGGCCAATTTTAAAAATTGCGCAGAAATTTTTCTGTCGATTGTTTGTTCGGTCATTTGTTATTTTGGCGAAATAAAAATTCGGCGTCTTTATAATTCGTACAATTTGTCACGTCACCGTAACATTTTTATAAATAAATAATATTTTTGTAAAATTAATTTTTTTAAATAAACAAATATTTTTATAAATATATAATTATTGATAAATAAACAAATAAATTAATAAAAAAAATGATTATTTATAATAACAAACTTTTAAGAGCGGTCGTAAAAACATCAATAGAAGACCGAATCATTGAAAATCAGGTGCTACAAGAAGAAGATTTGGAAACCCATCAAATACACAAAATAAAGTAACAATACCAAACCTTATAAAAGGGATTACATGATTGTTTGATTGTCTTGTAATAATAATAATTGAGAACATTCAGCATTTTTAAATAAAAAACTTGCATATTGTATTTTTTTAATCATTCATTTAATAAACCTCTTCCCAATTTAGTTAATTTAGCTAAGTTAAATTGAGGAATTAGAATAGGGAACAATTATAAGTTCTCCCCAACTTAGTTAATTTAACTAAATTAAATTGAGGAATTAGAGTAGGGTACAATTATAAGTTCAGGGTAGATAAAATTAATAAAAATTAAATTTTTTTTTAATAATTATGACATAACAAATTAAAAATTCGTAGAAATAAAAATTCGGTCAAATTTTGAAATTCGGCGAATTGGAATTTTTGTCATTTAAAAATTCAAATCACATAAAATTCGATTGAATGAAAATTCTGTTAAATTAAAAATTCGCTAATAATAAAAATTAAAATTAAAAGAAAATTTATTATATTTATTTTTGGAAATATTTATAAAGAAAATTAAATATATATAAAAAAAATTGTTTTGTACCCTTTCTCTGAAGACATCGGCAAAATCTGATCTGGAGGCAAGATCAGATGCCTCGTTCACGTAAAGTCCACTGTAAACTTCTATCGTGGCTGGCGTGCCACCATCCAAGCCCTCGGCTACCTTCTTTTCTTCTCCACTCGAGTCCCTGCGTCTTCTCCTTACTTCATTGCACAATGGCGGCTGAAAAAAAAGAGATAAATACCTTTCAGTGATACATCCGACCAACGCGCGGCAAGAAAGTCGATTTATTCTCATCAATTTTAAAACGCTCTTTCTTGAGAATCTCGTCTTTAGAGTTTAATATACACCGGGGTTCAATTTCACTAAAGAAGAAGAAGAAGAAGAAAAAAAAATACAAAACTTAAAGATCTTTAAGCAATTGAAATTTAATCTCGAAGCTATAAGATATATAATCAAACATGAATAGGAATTTCATGTAACAACCAATTTTGAATATTTCGAAAAAAGGAATAAAATAATGAAAAAAAAATTTTGATTTTCATTTTTTAAAAAAGTTAAAAAAAATTTTTCTTCATTTCATAGAATGAATAAAAGTAGAGTACCAAGGGCGCATCATTATCCCATAAAAATCGTTAGTTAGAATTTTGATTTAAAAGAATTTTATTAGATTTTCTATTAATTAAATTATTTTTTAGACGAATTTTTATTTTTCGAATTAGAATTTGATACAATTTCTCTTTAAACAAATTTTTATTCTACAGAATTCTTAAAACGTCGAATTTTTATTAGTCTCGATATTGCAAATGGCCGAATAATCAACAGAAAAATTTAGGCGCGTTTTTTTAAAATTGACCAATCAGAAATTGTCAGAGGAAATCGTGATTGGTCAATTTTAAAAAAACGCGCCTAAATTTTTCTGTTGATTATTCGGCCATTTGCAATATCGAGACTAATAAAAATTCGTCGTTTTAAAAATTCTGTACAATAAAAATTCGTTTAAAGGAGAAATTCTGATTCAAAAAATAAAAATTCGTTTAAAAAATAATTATACCAATTAAAATTCTTTCAAATTAAAATTCTAATTAATAATTTTTATGGGACAAAAATGCGGCACGGATAACGAAAAAAGTATTAATATAGAAATAACGTAATTAAAAAATGATGATTTCAAAAAAAAAAAAAAAAAATTTCAATTTATTTAAAATATTACCGTATGTGAGCAACCGCCGCCATCTTTAACACAAAGACGAACGTTACATTGATAATAAACGCTCGCCGTGTAAGGAAATTTGTGAGCTTGAAAATTGACTTTGGCCTCCGTCTTGTCTTCACTATATGTAAATTGACCCATAATTTCACCATCAACAGGACATCTAAAACAAATTTTTATATTTTTTATTATTATTATTTTTTTATAATTAATTAATTAATAATAATTAATAAAAAAAATATTAACTAGAATATTTTAACGTCATTTGAATTTTAGCAAAAAGAATAAAATTTTTTCAAAAACGATTTAAATAATATTAATACTTGTTGAAATAAAGAAACTGCGAAAAAATGTCAAGGTTTCAAAATGTCTTTAAGTTTAAAGAAAGATATATATTCAAAAGGGCATAAGCGTCTTTTTATCTGCACAAATTTACATCAGAAAAGACGTTTGCATCAGCAAGTTGAACTGGCGATATTTTTTTTTTTTTTTTCTCTTCATTTACATTGTAACCACCTTTCCTGTATAAAATTCCAACTCATGATTCATGTGAAACAATTGTATTCTCGTAACTATAGTGAAAGTTTTTGTTTTATTTTATAAGAAAAAAAATAGTTTTTCTTATTAATAAAAAAAAAAAAATCAAATTAGAATTATTCTTTTTTTTATTATAAGTTTTTAATAAATAACAAAATTTTATGATTTTGCATGTTAGGGTATTGTTCTTACTTCGGAATTTTTTTTTATTTATTAAATAAAATAAATTTACGATTTGTATTTTTTTCTTATTAAAAAAATATTATTTTGCGATGCAAATTGAAATGTAAGAAATAAAAAATTGCTTTTTTACCCTCGGTCATTGATGAGACGTTGTTCGCCCCATCCAAGACCATCTCGAACTATACAGTCGGAAATTTTGAGACCAAATAGATCCTGTTTATCGATGCTTATCACTAGTGTTAAAGGGTCACCAATTTTCACATTCTCCGCGACTCGATGTCGCGTTGGATCACCGCTAAAAATCTTCATCGTACAGCCCGGCATTGGCGTCATGGACTAGACAATCAAAAATTACCATTATTAAACAATTTTATCAATTTTGAAAAAAATTCTTTTTCTTTTAGTTCTAATTGAGACTTTTTTGATTTTTTTATGTTTACGAGATATGAATTTTTCAAAATTTCAAAATTTATAAAAATTTGAATTTTTAAAACTGTATGTAGCTTTGCTTCTTAAAGACAAAAAAAAACATAATTTAAAAATCAGCAAATTATTAATTTTTATTTTTAATTTTCAAAAATACCAAAATAAAACTTTTAAAAAACAATTTTTATTAATACAATTTTAAATAATTGAAAAATAAAAAAAAATTTATTTGAAATTTCAAAACAATGTTTAAAAAAAAAATAATAATAATTACCTGCTGAGGCAAAGATTGTAGCATGGCGGTTTGTGCTTGGTCGTTCGTTATGACTTTGTCTCGAGTCTGATAGCGACATCTCACGTGGAAACCTCTGCCCTGATTCGTGACAAGTTTTAGGTGCGGTTGCACCACTATTGTATTAAAATATTCGATTCCACCGTCGTCCTGAAACAATATTATTCCATTGTCAATAATATTCACAAAATAACAGTAAAAAATAAAAAACATTTTATTAAAAATAAAAATGTTTGACGAAAACGAGCGATATTGGTAATTTAAAAATTAATATGTAATTAATTAATTAATATAAAAAAAAACCTATACCTGTAATTCTATAAATAAGCTTGGGCTTTAGCTATTTTTTTCTTTTTTAAAATTCGAATTTCCCGCCAGAAGGGAATCCCAATGAAAGAGTAATTCCCACCCGAGGGGAATACCCTGGGTTGGTAAGACATTAAATTTTTTTTTTAATTTGATTGCAATATTAAGGCACTTATACACAGATTTGCCAATGACCCAACCTAAACGCAACTGCGCTTGAGCTATGACTACTTTCTTATAGGTCGAAAAAAGCGCGTTTATATAAAATGCTTAGTAATAAGAAAACGTTAAGAAAGCAATATAAAAATATTTTCACTACAGTAACCGTCACTTCACGGCGTGAAAATAGACATTTGGCTAAAGTCACGTCATTTTACGGCGTGAAAATAGATATTTGTCTAAATTCACGCCTTTCCACGGCGTGAAACTAGGAAATCGACTAAAGTCACTTCTGTTCAAGGCGTTAAATACACAATCGGCTAAAGTCACGTCTTTTCACATAGTGAAAATAGACGATCGACTAAATTCATGTCTGTTCACGGCGTGATAATAGGCAATCGACTAAAGTCACGTCAGTTTACGGCGTGAAAATAGTCCGTTGGGTCTTTTTTCAAAATTTACATCATATATTAATAATTTTAATACTTTTAAGTCTGTAAAAAATTAAGCATTAAAGTGGAAAATAATTTCAATAATTTTCATTACAAAAAAAACAAACATAACAAATATTATAATAATAATAATAAATAATAAATTATTATAATTATTATAATAAATAATAAAAATGTTTACAATTAAATTATTAAAAGATATACAAAAATTTTGATTTGCAAATTTAAATTTCGCGCCACACGATATATGGACAAAAACGATTTTCGGATATTCTCCTAAGGGGAATACCCAATTGGCGCGGGAAATTTAAAAGTTTCTTTTACCCTGTATCTAATGCTTCAAATGCGTTATTAGAATTCCAATAAAATTTCTTCGGTTTAAACGATTAGAATCCGGTTTTGCCTGTGATAATGTAACCGTTCCATGGAACTCGACTAATCTTCCATGTTTCTTTTCGTAATTGTTGTAACGGGTCATTTGCACTAGAACAGCAGTCTCGCGAGTAAAGCCAATTTTTTTTTCTTTATTTCATTTCTCTGATGTTTTTTATTATTATCAAATATTTAAAGATATGGATATATATATATGTATGTGGAGTTTTATTCAAAACGCTCGGAAGAGAGGGAAAACCGGAAGGACCCTTTTTTTATGTGAATATAATAGGAAACATGCTGCGGGTAGGATAATGACACAACAATCAAGTGAACGTGCTTCTTTGTGGGCTCCTCTGCAACATTGTTGCAAGGTCGTGAGGTGTTATTTGTATCCGCATTGCTACGAAAAATAGCTTCATTATTTTATTCTTTATATATATTATATTGTAGCCATCATTTCCAATAATTTACTGCATTAACTGACTTACAATCATTTTCAATAATTGGATTTCTGGCTAATAATATATATTACAGTAAATGTATATAATTAAATAATTTATTAAATTATAGCAAAAATGGACTTGTTTTTGTATTTTTTTTTTAAATTATAACATGTTTTTGAAAATATTTTTAAAAAAATTAAAAATCTTGAATTTTTTTTTTTTGAAATTGTTTGGATTTTAAAGAGGTATTATTATTTGGAATTCCCTTTGCATGAGAAGTTCCTCTACATAATGAGAATTTATTGGCAAACTGACCAAAGTCTGTTGTCTCCAGGACAAGAATCATTATGTCTGCAATTACGTTTTATTGTTGCGGAACCACAGGAGGAAACACTTTGATTGCCAATTCCGTTCATTAGAGTCGATCATTATCTCCTTAATAGTGATCATTTCGTGGTAAATCAACAATTTAACAAAATAGTACTATACTCAATAAATATAAATCATTCGAATTAAATTTCTCACCTAATTTGATAATCGAGAAATATATATTTTTTTAAATTAAGGTTAAGAAATTTTTTCCCGCCAATGAAATGTAAAAAAATAGCGGCAAATTCAAATTGTATTTTCTATTTTTTGGAAAAAAAAATCGTAAATAGAAAAAAAAATAAATATAGTAAAAAATATAAAAATATGAGAAAATAAAAGATAAATTTAAGAATTATAATTGGAATTAAAAGAAAATATTTATAACGAAGAAAAATTGTCGTGTCAACGACATATTGTCGCCTCTCTCTCACGGTTTTGTCGTGGTGTTATCTTTTGTTATAATGTCGATTCCATTCTAGGGACACGAGAAAATTGCTCGCGATGGAGAGAAGGAGACCAGTTGGTTTTTTTTTTTTTTTTTTTATTGTCAGAGTGCAAGGACAAACATGAAAGTCCCTTGTGTCGACAAAACGTACACTTGAAAGTGTTAACAATTACCGAGGTGAGCAAACGAATTAAACAACAACTACTGAGGCGCCTTCTTATAAAGTTCCAAGCAATTTTCCCGTCTGATTAGATTTTGCTGATTCACTTTGGCAAGCAAAAAAAACAACATAAAATTCACAATTTTCCAAAATTTGTTACACACAAAATTTTAAAAAATAAATTTTCAAAATTTCATATTTAAAAAAAATTTTCAAAATAAATTTATTTCTACAGTAGAAGTACCAGTTGTGACCACTTTAAGCGATTTTGTCATTTTTATGACAAAAAGTTTCTATGGAAACAGTTTCCATGGTAACGGTTGCTATGGTAACAGTTGCTATGATAATAGTTGCTATGGAAACGGTTGTCATGGTAACGGTTGCTAGGGAAACAGTTGTCATGGTTGCGGTTGCTATGGAAATGGTAAACAACTGGTACAGTGGTCACAAATCGTATTTCCACCCTATATAAAATCTTTTATGAAGCGAAATTATACAATTAAAAAAAAAAATTTTCCTTTTTACAGAATCATATTTTGTGAAAGTGTTTTCAAGATTTTTTTTTTTAAATATACTTATGGAAAGAACAGTATTTAAAATAATTGTGGAGTACAACAATGGCGATTCAATGATCACCCTTGGGCTAGAAAGCAGAATTGATTTCAATTTCAAGAGCATCAGACGCTTTCAATGCTGGTCAGCAATTTTCGATTGATGGGTGGAGCCTCAATCGACGAGATCTCTCTGATCAAGAATCGATTCTACCTGTTTATTATGTAACATGGTATTGATTTAATTGGTAGTCTTCGATGATCTCGTGAAACAATGTGTGCAAGTTTCTCATTTTATTGTATATATATAGCGACCTTCCAATAATGATCCTTGCAATTTGTAAAATTAACACAATATGACAGTGTCACGTCACCGTAACATTTTTTATAAATAAATAATATTTTTTGTAAAATTGATTTGTAAAATAAATAAATAAATATATATATATAAATAATTATGACATAACAGCTAAATACACTTATTTTATTGCATTTTGTAATTCTCTTTTATCCCTTTATAAATTTTTTATTAATAAATTTTTTTAAAATGTCATTCCTGGTTGATTACAAATACTGTAAGTTAACGCATAAAAAAATTTATCTGTCTCATTAATTTCTTGTTTTTTTTTTTTTAATTAAACAAATTTTTTTTTAATTAGACATTACTAGAATATTTTTTATTTTGCAATAATGTTTTTTTTTATTTAAAAAGAGAGAAAACATCTTCTTAGAATGAGTATTAAAAAAATAATTTATTTATTGCTATTTCACTGATTGCAAGTTGGTATTTCGCATCTTCCATTTAAAGACAATTTATTATCGATTTTTGAGTGAAATGAATTTTAACTAAGCAACCAGACCAATGAAATCGAATCGTTAAAGAAAAAAAAAGAGAGAAAAAGTATCTTTCGTTTAATAACGTTTCGCTTATTGGAGATTTGCGAAAGCCATCAAAGTTTATGATTTTGCGTGACTCGTTATTAAACTGGCCATTTGACCTATAGAACAATATTTGCTACTCATCATTACGAAATTTAATTTAATTTCTCTTTCATATTTTATCATTAATTAAAAAAAATAACAATTTTTCTTATATAATAATTTTTATTTTCCACAAATTAATAAAATTTTATAAGATATTAATTAAATAAATAATTAATTAAAAATAAATTTTTAAAAGAAATTTTTAAGTTTTAAAATATAATTTTCAATATTTAAATTTCCCGCCTTTTCGCAAGGGCACGTTTACAACCTTATGTGTAACTAATTAGTATTTTATAAAATTTGATAAATATTGTTAACCGAAAGCAAAAAATCATGAGAGTGAAAAGGACAGTGATATCTTGCTATTTCTCTCACAGCAATTGTTATTGTCATGCAATCATTCGAAGTGTAAACGAACCCTAAGGTATGCGGGGAAGTCCCGACCTTCGTCGTTTGTCATTATTGGGCGGGAAATTTAAATTTCAAATTTAAGTAGACTATGCTAATTTAAATAATTAATTTAAAGACGACAACACTAATAAAAATTAGTAATATTAATAATAATATTTATTATTACTATTATTATTATTTTTATTGCAATCAGAAAAATAATGAGAGTATTAATAATTCGGATTGAAAATAATTAGGACTAAAAAAAAAATTATTAAAAATAGATTGAAAAAAAGGGATAAAAGCGAAGGAATTTTCTTGTTAAGACACCGGGTATATGGAGCAGGCAACGACCTTCAACGAGTGCCGTCCGACCTCAGCAAGGATACCTACAATCTTCAGTGCATCGGCCTGAGGCACATCGGATCGCTGACTTTACATTTCACACCCACCTTAAGAAACTGAGAAAACAGCTTTTATTTGGGCTTTCCTCCCCATTAATTCTTCTTCACCACA